CCGAGGTGACAATCGCCGTGTGTGTGACATTTATGGGTATCATGACAGTCTTGACTGGAGCATCGAGGACAATCTGAGCCGCCTCAGCTAATAGAGGATCAAGACAGGCACCGTAACATATTTCAATAAGACACGCACGGTCACACATAATATTGAACTCTGCACTGTCATTGTAAAGATTGGTTCTTCGAGTACCACATGTTACATACCTGCGACGGCAGATCTATTTCCAACGCCCACACCTCCGCCCATAAATACAAACTGCTCCACTGCTTCCATGAGGTTGGGATAGACGCTGACAAATAGGGCAATATTCGTCATTGGTCCAGAGGAAACAACTGATACTTGATGTCCAGTACCATTGCGCCATGCGTCCTTGATGGCTGTTGCCATTCCCTCGATGGCATGGATCAATGACCCATCGACTTTCCGAGCGAATCGTGCCTTAACTTCAGGACTATCAGCTGAAGGGAGCCCTACAACACCTCCTAGGCCATCTTCTCCATGAATTTCAGGGTCGTGTTTTGTGGGTCGAAGTAACGGCTTGCATGCGCCAGGATATACAAGAACATCGGAAGGTGCAGCAAATGCGTGCAGACACCTTGCAGTGTTATTGGCAGTGCAATCAGCGGACGCATTGCCGTGAACCTAAGCAACTTGCTTGAAAAGGACCTGTGCAGGAGACAGCCGCTTTACACACACTGGATACTCCAAGAAGCTTGATATTCTCTAATTGACAGGCCATCATAAGTGCAGTGGCATCATCATGTCCCTGAATGAAGCGTTTCATCAGCACATCTCCACCAAACGAGAGCAAATCGTCAATTGCGCACCGGATCTACATCTAACCAGACATATTTCAACGTCATTTTCTTCTAGTTTCAGTCAGACTGAACTGGATCGATTGTAAGGGCAACAACGGTGATCAGTAATCTGATTGATGAGAAGCAAAGTTAATTGGTGTACGTCCATATCCAAAACCCGGACGGAACGAACATCGTCGATAATGATATACCATAAATCAAAGGTCGTAACTGGGTGCAGACCTTCCTGTGAGTTGCATAAAAAAATGGCGCAATTGAAAAGGTGAAGACTCTGAGACTTGGATTAAAGATGATCTTGGTTGTTCCTTTGTCGGTCCTAACAGTGGCAAACAACGTCTGCAAGTCCGGCTCCGAGTCAAAACACCATACGCTCAGTCGCATCATCAATGTCAAGTCAAGTAAACAGCAAGGAGGAAGAAGAAGTAGCACCCCTTCAACGGCCACCATCTCCCCCTCTTCATACAACATTCGCTGCTCGCGGTCTACATGTGCGTATAGAGGACTTGCACATCTCAAAGAACCTCGCATTGTTAATGCAGTCCATTGATTCAGGCACAAAACTTTCCTGCGCATAAACCGCGTGATCTACGTATACCCTCGCCTCAAGCTATAACTCATGTAGCATGGAGTTGCGACGGGAAGCGTTTAGCTGGCGTTGGTATCGACAAAATTACTCGGATCTGGACTCCAGAAACTAGCGTACGTACCATATATTGTATCTCATCAGGAGCCACACTCCTTACCACAATCATAGATGGAATCAAGAGCTGCAACTCATTTCTCTGGCGGTCACTCCGATGATGTTGACTATATATCATGGAATCCCACTCATCCAGAGTTATTTTGCACGTCGAGTCAGAAGGACAGAAGGATTGTATTTTGGGATGCACGACGTAAGTTTTATATGCCTTGCGCGCATTGTGAATAACCCTTACAGAACTCAAGAAAGTCGGCACACGCAGCAAATAATTCTGAAAATCTCACCCGTACAGACAAATTATTCTCCAGACGGCCGGGCTTTGATATTTACTTCGGCCGGGCACCAGCTCTTTTTCTTAACATACGGAAAAGATGGTGATGCAACAAAGGCGCAGTGGCATCTCTCAGATAAGGACGGGGTTTGTTCCACATTGTCTCCATCATGTAACAAGTTATCGACATCTTTCGACAGAGCATTGTCGCATCCACCGCCATGTTCAATCATGTCGGCGATGGTATAATTCTGACGCATCATTCTGAGCATAGCGTTCGGGTCATGGACTACCCAACACTAACCCTTAGAGAAAGCCCCGCCGCTCATGTCGGAGGTTGTGTTGCAGTAGCACTCGATCCTCGGGGGAGGTGCGTATTAACGGTCACATGCTCTAATCGACATGCATTAACGTTGTGTTCAGATATCTTGCATCTGGTGGCTATGACTCAATTGTTAACATGTTCGATCTGAGTGAATGGATATGCGCTCGGACAATCTCCACTTGCGAGTGAGTAGATTCAAACACACCACTCTCTCCACTGACTTGATTCCTTCAGAAATGCGATCAATGCATTGAGCTTCTCGTATGATGGAGAGTACCTCGCTATTGCAAATACAGGACCCTACATCGACATAGTAAGGACTCAGTTTCTAGCTATTTATCTGCTTTTAACACGATCTGGGCACAATAGTGTGCAACAGAGACGGGTGCCCCATTGCATCGTGTTCCCGCATTGGCACCGTCACCTACAGTGACCTGGCATCCCTCAAAATACGTCTTTGCTTATTGTGGGCAAACAAAGCTCCGGGAGGGTGGACCTCCTCCTGTGGCTATTATCAGCCTATTTGGGGGTGGGATTTGATAGGCGAGCTTTGGAATTATTATCACTCATGTCGTTAAATCGCCACACTTGTTCGAGTTCATTCGATTCTGTACGAAAATTCGATGGATTGTGACAACTACAGGTTTGAAAGGCCCATCAGCGTGTTCCAAAAAGTTGGCGTCTAATGGTATCCTGTGGGCGCAATGATTTTCTTCTCCTGAGAAACTTGCGCCCGATCGGATTACTTTCTGATGGATGGTCTTTGTAGTTGCACAAGAACTTTCGCAAATGGGGCGAGTGTCCTTGGTAATTGCGACAGAACTAGTAGTCCATCAAAGATGCGGTGTTTCAGCGCTCGGTTATATATTAGTTCGCAGTGCCTTTCGGGGCCCTGGGGTCAGATGATCAATATACTTATTTCGTAAGGCTGCCTCGAGGACGATTCGAGTTCTCCCAGGACTACAGCTCTTAGTAAGTTAACGCAGGGCTGATATTTGAAGACCTACCCAGCATGCTGTGGATTCACCGTTATCTACAACATCCACAACAATGCACCTGCAGATCCCATTTCATGGCTCACCATTCTCACTAGATTCAGCAGGTGTTGCCGGCTTTTTCGGCGGTGATGAAACACTATCAGCCATGGGTACCGTACACTTGTACCGCGGCCGAAGATGGCTGGGGTGGTACAACTCTCCAGGGAGCTATACGGTCGCCAAAAGATACGGCCAGTTAGCTAACTCCCGATTTTGGGATGGATTATTCCCAGGTCCAAATTCCGAACCAGCTGAAACGTTTGGCCTGGATGGCAAGGCTGGGCCGCGATACGTCGCTTCGCTGTCTGGTACAGATATGACGACGGGGCACCTCGGATACCTCACAATACAGATGAGCAAGGAGGTGGAAGATATGGCGGTTCAGGGAAAAGCCAGCACGGAGACATTACCTGCATCAGTGACCGTCGTTCGCGTCGGAGAGGTCATGGATATGGATGAAGTGGGGATGATGAGCACCCATCACGCACTACTAGCTACAATACCCATAACCATCAGCATCATGACATGCTTCTCATGTGCTATCTTTGCCGACTGGTATGCCTTCAGCCTCATCCTTCTCGGCATCGTTTCAAGTGGCATAACCTGCTTCGTGATCGGTACTGCGAGGCTCCATCTCCGGGGACCCAAAACTGTGACCCCGGGGGTCCCCCCAGGGGATGGTCTACTTCTGACTCCGCGCGATGTCGTCGTTCTGATAGGGTCAGAGAAAGATGTGAATGTAATAACGAAGGGTCATTTCTTGCTGAACATGCATGGTGGACGAGAGTACCGGAGCGTTGGACTGTGTTCACTCCTTCTACTAGCACAATTCTTGCTACAGCTCCTCTTGATACCCCAAGCGACACTCTTCGGTCAAATGATGTTTCTCGCCTCGTGTGCGGCATCTTGGGTCTACAACTCGTTCCTCTCTTCACTTGAGAGCGAAAAGATACAAGGAGACCTGCTTTGCAAGGCGCTGCAGGTTGAAGGACGCGCGATACAGAAGTATTGCCTCCATAATAGGAGGAGCCAAGCTGTTTTCGCCTGCTCTATTCTCAGCGATGGAAACGAGACAAACGAAGACTTTGACGCGGAGCGTATGTTATCGTTGTTCGTGCCGAACAAGACAAGGGTTTGGAATCTCTGGAGAAAAAAGGTTGCAGCGCAATTGAAATCTACCTGTCCAGACAAAAAATTCCATGTGACAGCAGAGGAGAAGGAAAGTTTATGCGAAGAACACTGCAGATTGCTGAAGACCTTCCTAGATGATGCCGAACTTGCGTTTAAGGCTTACTACGAGCGCATTCGTTATCCGCGTTCCATAGACAACTGGGAAGAAAAGATTGTATGAATAACCGATATGCATGGCTAGAGTTATCGCTTAGAAGGTCTCCTGAATTATGATCGCAATCGTTGACACTCATCATACTGTAAACATCGAAGAATTGACTGTCAAACAAAATGCGGGCTCGTCACGTCACGATCCGAAGGGCGAATCGTAGGTTGGAATACCGATATGTCCAGTAGTGCGCAGGCGCGCGAAGCTAGATATAAAGCAAGGAGGTCCAGGCGACTTTGAGTATCAAGGTGCGCATATTGCCATGTGTATGAGTGGCGCACAAGATTGAAGGCGTGGGTGCAGGACAAAATGTTCTACGGCTACAGTAGATATGCTCATAATGCATAATGCATAAAAAATTATAACAAATCAGGATCCAATCTTTTCGAGACGCACCAAGTCATCCATTCGTAGAAATGAGCTTGGTCCATATATTGCTGTTAATGGATAATTTTTTGCACCCAAGAATGATTTTCTAGTGATTTGTTTGTATTTTATTTATTTATGCATTATGAGCATGTCTACTGTATATGTTTCTTCCTCGCTTTCAAGTCTGAGGTTGCCAAGATCAAAATCGGGTCACCCAGTGACTTTATGGGACCACGTGATGTACGTTCCATTTCCATGCATCAGGCTGCGCATTGATTACTGAATAATGTCGCAGAGGTCGTCCGACTTATAACGAAATAATTGGTTTTCATCCAGGAAGCCAAGGATGCGGGAGGGGAGGTTCTTATCGGAGGCACGGGTAAGGCAGATACTATGATTCACCTGCGACTTTTCTCATGATCCTACAGGTGATGACTCCAAGGGCTACTTCATACAGCCCACCATCATTCTAACCAAAGATCTTGAATCAATCACGATGAAAGAAGAAATCTTTGGTCCTGTCATCACTGTAATGGTTTTTCGTTCACAAATGCGGCCACTTTCCAAGTTTATGTGTACGGCGACGCGAATCATGAGCAGACTCTGGAACTCATCTGACATCGACAACACCTCGCCTTATGCCCTGACTCTGGCTCTATGTAAGTCGCAACGTCTCTGTGATTTGCATTAACCGACAACTTCTTTTCCAGCTTTGTCGCAAAGCACAAGGCCCTCCTGACTGCCACAAACAAGCTGCGCAACGCTGTCGGCAACGTCTATTACAACGAGAAATGCACTGGCATGGTTGTGGGTCAGCAACCCTTTGGAGGAGGACGAGCGAGTGGGACCAATGACAAAGCTGGGAGTATTAGCATCTTTTACCGGTTCGTTTCGGCGAGAAGCATAAAGGAGAATCTCGTGGGCCTGGAGGACTTCCAATACCCGTCCAACTTGATTTAAGATAATTAGAATCGGGATAACAACGCTAGTGATCGATGTTGTATCGATCAAAGAATGACGTTACTTGTATCGGACGAGAAACATCTATGGAGAACGAATTTGAAAATATCCTGAAGAGCACTCTATCAGCAAACCTCATCGCCCCATGTTACTCTACGGTAATTGTGGCGCACGCTAGATTTTGGAACCTTGCGCTGTGCTGTTGCTGAAGCGTCCACTCTGTGACCATGACGATAGCGAACAGCTCCAAATTAATTCCCGGAAGGATGCGTGAAGGGGTCGGATGGCGCTAGATGAGTTGGTGGTCCCACTGAGCAGCAATCCCATGTCTCCTACCACGAGTTCCACTCCGTAATGCTCGCTTTTATCTGGAAAATGGCACCGCATGGCATTCAGGGCATCTAAAGAGAGCGGTTTGGCCGAGCCAAGTACTTGTCCCATCACGGAATGAAACTTGGCTAGAGCTCGCTGATAACCAGCTTCTGTGACGTGTTTCTCCCTCCGCATGTTTTGTCCTAGAATGAAGTTATACATGCCATATAACAAGTTTTCCTGCTCTCCATCATTGTGGGACACGACGTCGTTGAGGCGATCAATTGCGGGTGAGCCAGTAGCGATGTCTCGGATGTAGTTGCATGCAAGACACGCCCACTCGAATAGTCCCCCAGCTCTGTTAGCGAGGACTGCGAACTCTTTGTCTCCGAGACCAGACACCTTTTTCAGCTCGTGAGACACAAATGTGCGTATGTCTCTCTTAGGGTCTTTTTCTGAGATGTCGTCCATGGATAACCGTTGGACTAGGACGAAAGCAGTGAGGGGAGAGCTCTATGATGCGTGATGATGTGTTACACTATGAACAGAGTTTGGCTATGTGCGCGTGTCGCTGACTAAGCTATGGCTATCGCCGAAGGACCAACTGCCTCTTGTCTATGTCTCTTCCTTTGGTCTATGCCTTGGGACCCCCGGTCCATGCACCCCCCTAAAAAACAACCAACGCCATCCTCGGCGTTCTTCCTACTATCACTTCTATTGTCCTATTCGTTCTCTTCTTCATCCGCTTCGTCTCTTGTCTGGTCGTTCTCTTCTTCTTCATGTCCCTTCTGTTTCTCTGATTCTTTCTCCGTTCTATCTTCTGTATCTGCTTCCGTGTCGTCGTCTCCTCTCTCTCTGATTCTGCGTTCATGCTCTTCTTGTTCTCTTGCTAACTTCGTTCCCGTTCTCGGGGTGAATGCTCTGAGTCGTCTTGCACTAAACTCTCCTTGAACTGGGATTCCGTTCAGCGCTTCAAGCTTGTACGAGTTTAGGATCTTCTCTCGTATACGCCTTGGGATTGACCATTTTGGTATGAGCTTTCGTTCCGCTTTGAACGTATAATCTAAATCATTGCGATATACTTGAACTAGTTGTCCGATTCGAAATATAACCTCACCTGGCGCTCGTTGTAGCAACTTTTTATCAAATGCTGCCTTCCTCTTGATTGCATGTCGCACTACTTCATCGTATCCGTCCAACCGTTGTTGTTCGACGTATGCTATTTGAGTTAGTGGGTCTGAAGTGCGTGTCGCTGACGCGCTTTCTTCTACATTCGTCTTCGGTGTGTTGACTACTAATCCTAAAAGAAGTTCCTTTGGAGAAAATTTCAGCGCTGGCAATAATCGATAGTTAAGAGCGTGCACCGCATCCTCCAGATGGTCTGGCCACGATTGTGTCAAGCCGCTTTCTGTCGTTTTTTGTCCTTGACTTTGATCTTCTCCTAAACTTGGTGCGCATAAGCATTTTAAAACGTGTAGTAAAAGCTTATTTGTTCCTTCTACAAGGCCGTTGATCCACGGGGAGTACACCGCTACGATGTGTACTTTGCATTTCTTCGATTCGCAGAAGTCCTTCACTGCTTCGTTGTTGAAGTGCTTGCCACCGTCCGCCATGAATGTTTCCGGTGTTGTGAATGCGTTGAAGATGTTCTTGAGTCCTTCAATCGTCGTTTTTGCACTACCTGATGTTTTATATTTAAACACCCAGATATGCTGCGAAAACGTGTCCAAGTACACGCCGAGCGTATTGTATCCTCCTTTCCCTTTCGGGAGGGTGAGATAGTCTCCAACTAACAGTTCGAATGGGTGCCGCCTGGTTATTGGCTCTAGTAGCGAATTTATGTGCGTCGGTCCGAAGTTCTTGCATTTTGCGCAGTCTTTGATGGCATCTAGGATTGACGCGTCTAGCTTGGGGCTGCATATTTGGTCCAGTAATGCGATTTTGATCGCATCTCGTCCCCAGTGGCCTCCTTCTGCATGCTCTTGTGCTGCTAGTACCTTGGCTTCTCCTCTCGAGACACATTCTACTCTTGTCCTGGCTCTCGTCGTTGTGCCACCTCGTAGCTTCCAGAGCCTCCCTTCTTCTATAACGTACTGTTCTGCTCTGTGTCTTGCTCGCCGTTTCTCTCTGATCTCCGTGGCTTGATCTAGGTTACATATAGCTTCTACGACTTCCTTGAATACTGGCTCGTTCTCGAATCGTGTGCGAAGCTTGTCTACTTGTGCGTCCACCGTCGTAACGTTCATGATGTCGTTAATTAGTCCTATCCTTGCTTCCCAGTCTTCGCTTACCGTCCACTCGTTTCCGTCTCCTGCTACTGGAGCGGTGTTTTCCCATTTTCTGCTAAGGCCATCAGCAACGACATTCAGCTTTCCTGGTACGTGCCTTATGTCCACTATATGATACGCTAATATTCCCTCTCTCCATCTTGCGTGTACTACGTTCAGATGCGGATTCAGCAGCGTGTCTCTCATCGCCCTGCAGTCTGTTTCAATCTCGACCGGAAATCCCCAGATGATGCTCGAGAATTTATCCAACCCGAATTTGAGCGCTGCGAATTCTAGTAAGTACGATTTGTACTTCTTTTCTGTCGCTGATGTCCGTTTTGATGCGAAGCCTAGAGGATATAGACGTTCGACCCATTTCCCTGCTGATGTTCGCGTCTTGATTCTCTGTGCTAGGACCGCTGCGAAGCCTTCTATACATCCGTCCGATGTCACTATGAAGTGCGACCCATCGTATCTTGGTGCGTGTAATACTGGTCTTGATGTAATCGCCGTTTTTAGATCTAAAAATGCTTTAGTATGTTCCTGCGTCCAAATAGTACTTAACTTGAAGCCGCTCATGGCTCGTCGATACGCTGTTTTGGACATTGTGCTGTCTATGGGTGCTTGCAGTAGTAAATCTCTTAGTGGGCCTTCTCTTTTCGCGTATGCATTGATTAACGTTCTGTAGAATCCTGTTAGTCCTAAAAACGAGGCTAAGTTCTGTGCGTCTTCGGGTTGTCGCCAGTCTACAATGGCTGTCAGCTTTGTTAGATCTGGTTTCACTCCTTCTCTTCCTATTGTTCCTCCTGCGAACTCGGTCTCTGACATGCAAAGCTTTGTCTTGCTCGGAGCTATTGAAAATCGACATTCTCGAAAACGTTGGAACAAAACTGTTAGCTTATCCATCATTTCTCTAAACGTACCTGTCGCGCATCCTCCGTCATCCATGAACAATTCCATATAGTGCGTCACTAGGAAATCGTGTAGCCTTTCTGCTAATGTATCGCAGAACGCTGTCGGTGCTCCTGTAATTCCCATCGGCATTCGTCGATATTGAAAGTACCCTCTTCCTTCGATGTAGAACGCTAAATATGGACGCCACTTCTCCGGCACTTCTATCGCATAATACCCTGATGCGAAGTCAAAAATTGAGATGTAACGTTGACCACTTAACCTCTGTTGTTTTGCTAATATATCCCCCTGCGGCATTGGGACTACTTCCGTTATTTTGTTAAGCTGCGCGAAATTCTGACAGATCCTCCATTTTTTCGGTCCTTTTTCTCTTGTTTCTTCTAAGGTAGGATTCTGTATCTCTCGTGGCGGTAACTCATAGGCTGGTTGTAGTCCCGCTGCTCTATGTTGGTCGTTGATTCGTTGCTTTAGCTCGTCCCATGGTAGACCGCCCGTTTCGTGTGCTCTTTGCGCTATAACTGTGGTTGCTACACATCGAATCAGTTCTGGGGATGCTCTCTCTACTATACCTGCTTCCAACATGTCCGTTACTCGCTCATTGTAAAACTTCGCTTGTTCGGGCGTTAAAGGGCGTTGATGTATCCGTAGGTTGAATATTGCGTTATCTGGAACGTTTAAATTCAGCGCTGCTCCAGGAATAGGGACTACTTCTCTTAGCGTTAGTGCAAAACTGTCTGTGTTTTCCGCTATAAACTGTTCTAACTCCTTTTTCTCGTCTACTGTCAGGTCGTTCCCGAACGTGATCTGTCGGAGAATTTCTTTGACTCTTGCCGGATTAAATGGATTCGTTTGTCTTGAGTATATTGACGCGTCGTTCCTCATCGGTTCTAACTCTGGAAGTTCTTCTAATAGTTGCTCTCCTCCTTCGTCTGGTCCTTCTTGTGCGTTTAATATGTTGATGCTCGTTGTTTCTTCTGTTAGATTATGTGTGTCAGTGCTTGATTGTTCTCTCGATACTCTGGCCGCTGTCACTCCCTTTGATGTGTTATTCTCTTTTTCTGCTGTTCTTTCTTTTGACGCGCTCTCTCTCTTCTTTCTGATCCAGTATCCTGTCGGCTTCCATTGGCCCATTGGGATGTTTGATGGTTTTGTTTTGTTTTCTAACGTCCTTTGTTGTTTCTCGTCTAGCGTGAGACTGACTGCATCTGCTCTCTGTAACATCCGCTTGTCCGCTATCTGGTTTTCTATTGCGACTGTTTTGATTCCGTCGGTTATCACGATCGTGTCCGTTTCGTATTCGTGAATTGCTGCGAATGTTTGAAGTGTCGGTTTTCCTAGTAAGAAGCCCCAGCTTCCGCCACTGTCAAAGACTTCAAACGTGCTCCGCACTCCGACTTCTTCAATCCTAATCATTCCCGTCCACTTTGCGATTGCTTTGACTATATTTCCATTTGCCATCCTTAATCGTTTGTCTGATGCGCTCCAGTTTCCCAATCTGTGCTTGATCTTCTCGAAGATCGACGTGCACATTGCACTGGTCATTGCGCCGTCATCGAATATCGCTCGTACTCTGACTCTTTCTCCTTGTGGACCTTCTAGCTCTATTCGGTGAGCGAACGGAACTGCCTCTCCATTTTTTAACTGAGTTTTTGTGACGACCGGGTGTCCAACCGAATACAAGTCATCGGTTTCGATTGCGTCGTGAAGTTCGGTAGTACATGCGATATCCTTAGCTACGCGCTCAGCAGAAACTTTGGGGCTAATGGTCCTAGAGTTGTCCTCGCATGTTGCCTCTTCGCATGCGAGGACTTCGACTCCGGCTTGAATGTGTTTGAGACTTTGGGTCGACGTAATGTTCTTTTTTACGTCGACCCGTCCGCTTTTCCCTGTTGTTCGGGAATCTCTTCAATCCACGCTTCTAACTGTGTCTCCTCGTAGCCGTTACTCATGACTAGTGATATCGGTGTGGCCGTTGCTCTGTTGTATGCGCCCAGCGTCTTGCTCACAATTGCTCTCCATGCTGCTTCTTTGCGCGTTAGCCTCTCTTCGTGGTTTGGCGGTAACGGGCAATCCCGTCCGTTGTGTCCATGTGTCCCACACGCGAAGCATTCGCTGGATGCGATGGCTGCCGTGCCCGGCTTTAGTGGGTATCCTGTCTCTTGTGTGACTCTCGCGTTCTCTCCCCATCTCGTGTTCCACTGTGCGAGCTGCGCTCTATATGCTGCTTTTCCTGCTGCGCTATCCGGGTGTTGCGGCATCGTTTGGACTAACTGCCTGACCATTGTTTTCATCTCCTCCGTTACTACTAATGGCTGTTGCGTTGTGGCCGGTTGCCGATTATACATTGGTTGTGCGTTCTGACGATTGGTTGCTGCTGGTACCCGGTTATATGTGTTGTTCGCTGTCGGAAGCGTTGGCGGTGTCGTGGGGTTAATCGACATTCTATTGAATTGACTTTGTAATGCTGCAATTGGGTTTTGCTGCGGTGCTCGTGTCTGGACTCGAGCTAGGTCTGCGCGTAGCGCTTTGAGCTCGTGTGATTGCTTGAGGTATTGTTCTTGTTTCTCTACAAGCCGACTTCCCTTGAGCTCTGTCACTGCTTTCGTGAACTCCTCCCACTTGGTATATTCTTCGTCTTTCAATAGATCCTTTACGATGTCCGGCAGTTTACTGCGGACTTGCCATATCATCGACGTGCTCTGTTCGATGCCTGCGTCTGTTGCAAGTTGAAGCGTCTTCATCGCCCATGCTACGTGCGTCCAGCATTCTCTATCGTAGAGCGTCTTCTTCTTTCCTACGTCTTCTTCTCGTAGTATATGCTCTAACAATTCTTTCTCGTACTCTGCTCTTGTCTTTTCCGCTATCTGGACTGGCGGCCAGCGTTTCTCGAATGCTATCACAAATGCATTCCATGTCGCTTTGTCTTTCGACTGCAACACTTTGAACCATCGTTCTGCTTGTGAACTTGTTCCGAGGTAATCACCAAAAGCGTCTAATTTGTCGGTGCTGTCTGTTATTGTCTGCTGACGCATTGCTCGATTGAAGGATTTCAGGAAATCCGCCGGATTTTCTGATGCTCTTCCATCGCCGTGAAATATCTGCGGGGTCTCTACAGGCATGACAGCTTTTAACTGTGCAAGTGCAAAGAATTCGGCTAGATTGTAATTCGGTACTGTGGAGATGGATGTGAGCTGCTCTGTCTTCGTGCGACGACGTGGTTGTTGGACTTCGGACGATGGTATGTAGATGTCTAATTTTTGGACTTCTAGTTCTGGGAAGGGGACTTGATTGTTCTGCTGTTCGTCTTCTTCCGAGAGGCTGCTTAGTGACGATGTGCTACAGTGACTTGGTGTGTTGTGTCCTGATGGATCTGGTGTATCGAGAGGAGATGATGCTGCTGATGTCTTTTCTGACCAGAGTTCCCAGTTCGTTTTTAAACGAACGTTGGTTACCGCTTGTCCTTTTGCTGTTCTGGGTCTCAATTTGTTAGCTTTGGGCATCAAATATAAACGTAAATGCGAGTAAGATGAACACTGCTCTTTTTTGTAATTGGTGTTGTTTTTGATGTGAGTTGCGACGTAATAAGACTGTATGTTTCTGTAAATGGTTCGTTAGCTTCTATTTGGGAGCTTCTATGTTCTATTCTATGACTAAAATCTAGACCGCGAGCTAATGCTTCTTTCTTCTGCGTGCTTTTTTGTGTGATAGGTGTGTGATGCAATATCGCGCTGGTTCGGATTCTCTCTGTTCACCACGATGGACTAGGACGAAAGCAGTGAGGGGAGAGCTCTATGATGCGTGATGATGTGTTACACTATGAACAGAGTTTGGCTATGTGCGCGTGTCGCTGACTAAGCTATGGCTATCGCCGAAGGACCAACTGCCTCTTGTCTATGTCTCTTCCTTTGGTCTATGCCTTGGGACCCCCGGTCCACCGTTGAATATGTGGAGCATCCTGAAATTCAGAATTGATATCAGGAAGCGCGCGAGAAGTGACGAGAATCCGAAAGTTGGATGGGAGTTCGGTGATTTTGGGAAGACCTTCTCCCTCGAGGGTACCCGCAAGTATGCGGAGAAGGTTGCGCCGTGTCTCGACTTCCCCGCTCTCGTCCAGCGCTTCGATTACGATCAAGACAGGCCCCACGCTCGACCCAGAAGACTTCTTTAGTGATTCTATCAACAACTTGCGCCACTGCTGGACGATGTCTGTCGTGCTCTTGAGCGCATTTGCACGTTCGACTACATTCGCTAATGCGTGTCTCATCTCCGGATCACGATCGGCGAGGTCGCGAGCGATGGTGGAGAAGACTTTTTCATGACGTTTGTCGGTTTGATTCCGGTCGAAGCAGAAACACGAACCGAGCCCTCCCAAGTCGTTGAACCAGTTGGCTATTGTATGAGCGATGGCTGACTTGCCCGTGCCCGCAGGGCCAGATAGCCACAGCACCCGCTGAGCAGTATCTCCGCTGTCGTTGATCCATGCAGTGATCCGGGAGAGAACATTCGTGCGCGTCCCTGGTAGGCATAGTTTCGTGGTATTTAGTCCCGCGCCTGCTGCGTAAGGCATCCCGCTGAGATCCAGTTTGTCACCCAGTTTGTCACCTAAAGAGGTATTATGAGTGGACGGGAATTCAGAAGCATGTTCGAATCCTTACTAGTACACCGAACAAGATCGGCTATGTCTCGAAGAGCTTGGTCCCGAAATTGTTGCATGAAGTCGTCCAAAGCGTTATTGTACCGTGAAATCAGATCATCCGTCTCTGAGATGACATTTTTCCCGAGTCTCTTCCCTGTGATGATGGCATAAGGTTCAAATTATGGAAAGTGTGATGGCTAGAAGACTCACAAAAGCTCTTTTTCTCCGAATAATCCCTGATGAAATACGCGTACTCTAGAGTCTGCTGCGCGATTCGTCCAGCAATGCTGCGCTTGGATGAAATCTGGCCCAGAGTGTCCTTTTGCGACATGAAGCCGTAAACTTGTTCCAATTTGTTGAGAAGAGATTGCACCGATTTGTCGCGTTCTGTTTGAGCGAGAAATAGAGTCAACAACTGCTGAACAGGAAGGTGAAAACCACACGTACTTTGGATGCAGCGGACAGCATGCCCAGCACCATCTTTGCATAAGGATGTACCTATACAATTTGATTAGCTCGCTTCCAACCAAGAAGAGCACCCATACGTTCGCAAGATTCTCTATGACAGTGTCGAAAATTTTGAGTTGTTGAAGATATGTGGTCGGGATATCGTCTGCGGCAGCGAGATCTTTTGGGCCATCCTCGGCTTTGGATACCACAGAAGTGACACGTCCCCCGAGTGGTCTCATACTTTCTGTAACCTTACGGGCACCCTAAAGTCCAGCATCAACTGATTGGGAATCAGGAAACCCTTTCACGTCAGGAGGTGCGTCGAGGACCTGCACGACCACCAGAATTTAGATATGAAAAATAGATCGTTTGGCGTAAATACCTTCGAAGCAGGTTCTCCGGGCGCTCCTTGATTCCCACGGCCACTGAGATTCTCAGATGTGACGGGCTTGTCGCCATCGGAAGGATGCAGACTCGATGCATGCTTGGTTGACCTTAGACAAGTTCAAGATGAAAACAATGACTACTTACCTCAGCATTCTGATTCGACAAAACACTTTCATGATCGGTGTTCTGGACAACGGGGACTTGGTGGCGGGAACGCTTGAAGCGTTTCTGTAAAATATCAGCTATATTCTAGTCCCTTCAGCATTCAGGCCGACGTACGGAAACTTTTTAGTCACATTCTTCTTAACTTTCCGCAGGGCCTGACCGAGACCGCAGCCGCTACGGTGCTGGCTCTGGATTAAGGATGCGTAGGAGGCAGGGAAATGTCATTAGCGCTCATCGACAGCGGTCTAATGAGGGCACGTACGGAGCTCTCGCCAGCAGTTGCCTCTCTGGATTGAGAAGCCTCCGGAAGAGGTTCCTGCCTGTGGTCTTTGAGTCAAAGATTGGAATCAGCCTGAGGAAAATAGATGCAAGAATTAGAGGTAGGGAAGAGTATTTGGTGGAACCAGAATTTAAATAACAAGCACCCCAATAACGTGGTTCATGCAAGCACTAGGGAACCTTTAGCATGCATCGTTCATCATGTAACAAGCTTGACATTGATGGGTAAGTAAACACATACGTATGTATGGGCACAACGAAATTCTTAACAATCGTTAAGCTGAACATTTCGGTAGTATCGCGGAGTGTGTCACTGTGACAGGCACGAGAATCTTAGTAGTGTCGGGGCCCGATCAACCACCTGGGTTGCCCTATTAATAAGCCTTATTATACTTGGTAGTTACGTGTCTCGCCAACTATAATTAGGCTTGGTTTCATCAAATCCCTACACCAGCGTTAAATAGTGCCCCAGCTCCTCAAAATACCTTCAAAAAAACTATGTACACCTCACTATGGTGGGCGCGCGCGCGCGCATAGGCTATATTCGGTAAGCATCCCACCCCGCCTTAATTGCGTCATATTCCTATTTTAATTCGGCACGCTCGGCAACGCCTACTACGCTTCCTAATTCGAACCAAGGGGCCCTTCTCACGCTTCCTAGCTCTCCTCATCACTGTGCTCATCGTCCCTGCCGTTCCCTGCCTCCATCGTGCCCCCATTGTTCCGCCTTTGTCGTCGTCGTCAACCTCCTTCGTTCCTGCCGTTTCCCACCTCCCTCGTGCCTTCTCAACCTCCTTCGTACCTTCGTCGTCGTCGTCCTTCGTACCTGCCGTTTCCCAACTCCCTCGTGCTTTCGTCGTTGCCCTCCTTTGTGCCTTCATCGTTGTCGTCCTTCGTACCTGCCATTTCCCAACTCCCTCGTGCTTTCGTCGTTGCCCTCCTTTGTATCTGCTGTTTCCCGCCTCCCTCGTGCTTTCGTTGTCGCCCTCCTTTGTGCCTTTGTCGTTGCCCTCCTTCGTACCTGCCATTTCCCGCCTCCCTCGTACTTTCGTCGTCGCCCTCCTTTGTAGCTTTGTTGTTCTCCTTTGTCCCTTTGTAGTTTGTCGCACCTCATTGCACTGGGTTATGTCATATTCTACTTGCACTGTGATATTGTAGATCAAACTAAGATGTCATTGCACTTTTATAAAAACAAACTAAGTCTATCACGAGCGATTCCATCAAGAAATGAGTTATAGCGCAGGAATAATGAAACTAGGGACATTGCTCAAAGGGGACAGGATGGCTGAGTGTCACAACCCCTTAAACGAATTAACGCAGGGCAGAGACTAGGACTCAAACAACAAGATAATCACAAAGAGGATAAGGCAGCAGGTACGTCTTGGATTGCTCACTTGGAGATACAAGAGGTTTGAACTAAAGAACTACTGACTACGACGAGCTACCTATATACACATATTGAAACTGAGACTGAAACTGAGTATGAACTAACTAACCAATCAGAATAATTAAAGGTATCGTACGATTCTATATATAACTATGATGTCATAACATGTGCCGCAGCCGCAGTAAGACTCTGGAACATTCCAAGAGTGTCGCGAGGCATGACATCAATATCTTCGGCATTGTCCAATAGGTCACGTGATTCTGGTAATTCTACAATAGACGCAATAATAGGAACTTCTTCAACAGTAAACTCATTCTTAGGAACAGGCGCTGTGACTGGGCGCTTAAAGGACTTAGAATTTAGGAACGAATAATGGTTTGTATTTGGAACTCGTGACATTACCCCCTCTCTAGGATGAGCGTCATCGCGAATGAAACTAGGACGAATAAACTTCTTGCGCCATTCCAAAAACTCTTGGGTTTCGAACACCGATTTGTTAATTTTGCGGGGATTCAATGCCTTCGGATTTTGCCGGTGAAATTCTTGAACTTTCAACCGTGCATTCTCAAGGTTTTCCTCAGGTTCCCATGTCGCTTCTTCTATCGGATATCCTTCCCATTCTACTAGGTATTGGAGTTTTGATCTGTGCAGTCTCGAGTCTAGGACTTTTCGTACTATCCATTCGGAATCGCCTTCTGATAAGATCTCTGGCGGTGGACGATGATGTGGAAGTCTTTGGACTAAGGTCGAGGGGGAATGCGGAGTGAGTAATTCTACGTGGAATACCGGATGAATCTGATATTTTGCTGGAAGGTTCAGGCGGTAATTTACATCACCCGTCTTCTCTAGCACTTCAAACGGACCAAGTCGTCGATCGGAGAGTTTCTTATTTGGTCTTTTCTGACGGATATTTTTGGCATTGAGCCAGACCAGATCTCCTTTCTTGAATTGTGGTGCGTCTTTTACTCCTCTATCGTAGAATCTCTTCATCCGCTCATTCGCCATTCGCAGCATACTTTCTGCGTCTTCCTTCGCCTCTTTCATTACATCCACTCGTTCATCAGCTGCAGGTACTTTAGAATTGGAAATTGGTGAAAAAGTAAACTCTGGATCGTATCCGTAGAGTACTTTGAATGGACTATGACCCGTTACAGTGACAGAGTTATTGTGAGCGAATTCTGCTATCGGAAGCCAGTCTACCCAATCATTTTGGCGGTAAGACGTGAACATTCTCAGATATTGCTCTACTTCTTGGTTGATTCTCTCTGTTTGTCCGTCTGTCTGAGGATGATAAGCCGTTGACATGTTCCATTTTATGCCTAGGCGTTTCGACACTTGTCCCATAAACTTGGAGACGAATTGTGTTCCTCTGTCCGATATCACCTGTTTCGGAGTTCCATGGTGTTTCCATACGTTATCTAGGAAAAGTTTCGCGATTCCTCGAGCGTCAACTTCCTTTTTCGTAGGCATGATATGCGTTTGTTTCGTGTATCGATCAACGACAACAAAAATAGAATCGAACCCTTCGCTTTTAGGCAAATCTACTATCAAATCACAAGTGATTGATTGCCAAGGTCCCGCTGGTATTTCATTTGGTTTAAGCGGACCATGTGGTTGCGTTGGGTGAATCTTCGTTGCTCTGCATCTATCACAGCCATCTACGTAATCGTGGACATACTTCGTCATTGAAGGCCACCAATAATTTCTGGAAATCAATTCTAAGGTTTTGGCACGTCCAGGGTGTCCAGCCGGTGGAGAGTCGTGAAACAACTCCAATATCTCTCGGCGGATCTCTTTATCATTTGGAACGTAAACCAGTCCTCGGAATAACACCAATCCATCCTCCACATTCCACTCTTCGACTCCTCTACGCAATTGTACCGGTGCTGCTTTTAGCGTTTGTAGCGCTTTAGCGACTTCGGGTTCTCGTTCTGTGCATTGCCTTATCTTTCTCAGCAATTGTTTTTCTCCTTGCACTAGAACTTGACCTCTTTTAGCAGCTTTTACAGTAAAAAACTCCGGTTTTAACAAAATACGATCAGAATTGTCGTTTTCTACCCCCCCTCTGTGGTCTTCTCTCCGAGAAAGCTTATCGGCCTTATCATTGACTACACCAGGCTTATGTTGGAGCGTAAATTCATACTCCGCCAGGAACAGACTCCATCTGGCTTGCCTTCTTGTCAACTTTTGGCTCGTCATAAAGTACTCGAGATTCTTATGATCTGTCCAGATCTCCACATGGTGAGGTTTTCCCTGCACATAGTGCCTCCACTCCTCCAACGCTCGAATGATTGCGAGTAACTCTTTGTCATGGATGTCATAATTTCTTTCTGCATCGTTCATTGACTTAGAGTAATACGCCACGGGGTGCCATAGGTCATCTTCCATCAGTTGAGATAGAACCGCTCCAGTTGCGTAATCGGAAGCATCGGTTTCTATTTTCATTTTCTTCTCAACGTCAGGCATTACTAGGATCGGAGCTGATGTAAACCTTGACTTCAGTTCATCAAAAGCATCTTGCTGTTTCTCCGTCCAGTCCCATTTGACATCCTTCCGTAATAAATCATTCATTGGTCTGGCAATGTCCGAAAACCCGAAGATAAATCTTCTGTAGAAGTTGGCAAAGCCCATAAATGCTTGAATATCTTTGACGCATTTGGGTACAGGCCATTTCATTACTCCTTCTACTTTCACAGGGTCCATTCGAACACCACCCTTTTCCACTATCAACCCGAGGAACTCGACTTCTGTCTGTTCGAAGCTACACTTTTCAGGCTTCAGATACAGATCATTTTCTTTTAGTCGTTTCAGTACCTCTCGTACAACTTTTCGGTGTTGCTCCTTATTGCCATTTGTGAACACGAGGATATCATCGATATAGACAACTACAGTCTTTCCATCAATTAAATCTCTGAATATCTCGTTCATCATGGTTTGAAACGTGGCAGGGGAGTTTGTTAAACCGAAGTACATCACGGTTGGTTCATGGTGACCAAACGGCGTTTTGAAGGCCACCTTCCACTCATCTCCTTCTTTCATGCGAATATTATTGTACCCCCATCTTACATCCATTTTGGAGTACATTGTGGCACCGGTTAAAGCATCAATCAAATCTTGAGATCTCGGTAGCGGATATGCATTTTTAACCGTCTTCTCATTGAGCTTTCTATAGTCCATCACCGGTCTTAACTTGCCATCTTTTTTGGCCACAAAGAAGAAAGGTGCTGCCACTGGAGATTGTGAATTTCTTATACGTCCCAGT